TCTCCAGGTTCAGGCATCCTGCGAGGCTGGGCTTGCGCCGCAGGTAAGCTGTTAGGTCCCCTGGGTGTCCCCAGGCTGGCGCTGCCTTGGTTGAGTGGGTTTTTGTGGGAGGAAAAAAAGTGAAAAGGACCTACAGCTTGTTGGGGTTTTTTTAAGGTGGCAGCTTTCATGGAGAAAAAGTTGCAAATGAGTGACTTATTGTGGTGCAGGTTGGGCCCGGAGAGCTGAAAGGTTTACAAAGGCTTGGAATTCCTGTAAGAAAGTGTTATTAGCTCTGTTATGGACTTAGGGAAAATGAAGCTAAGTAAAATGGCTTTGTCAAGTAGATCTCACCATCTAACTTCTACAGGGCACGTAAGGATTAAAATGTCCTTGTTAGATCTTACTCTCAGAATTCTGTGTTTATTTCATTTTCAAATAAATTGTGTTTGGCTTGTGAAAGCCACACCAGCATCCAGCTGGGTTCTCATTGCAGCAACACTGACAACAGGGACACAGGCATTTTTATAGCTGATTGCTGTTTATGGTGCATGAGCTGTGTGAGCCATAGGTACTTCGGCTAGAGCACAATAGTGAAACACCTTCCACCTTGGCTCAGAGGGCACCACCAGACAGGACACATCTTTGCAAGTAAATGAAGAATAAACTCATCCCAGACTGGTTTGGGTTAGAAGGCATGTTGAAGCTCATCTCCTGCCGATGTCCCTGCCATGGTTAGGGACACCTTCCACTAGACCAGGTTGCTCCAAGCCCCACCCAACCTGGCATTGAACATTTCCAGGGATAGGACAGATGCAGCTTCTCTGGGCACCTGTACCAGTGCCTCACTACCCTCACAGGGAAGAATTTCTTCCTAATATGCAATCTAACCCTGCCCTCTGTCAGGTTATAGCCATCCCCCCTTGTCCTGTTACGCCAGGCCCTTATAAACAGCTAAGATTAAACCAACAGACATAGTGGTGCAAGAACCACTGCCCAAACACCTTTACAGGTGCTTTGCATATGTTTCATTCTCTTACTGTACATTGTTCATAGACTAACAGCATTCTATAGGGAAGCAAGTAGATCTCATGGTTGGAGATGATGCAAGCTAAAAACAAAGAAAGGGAAAGCAGTATATCACTGAAAACATTGTCAGGTTGTGACAGTCAATCCACTGTTGAAAGTATAGGTGCAAGGAAAATGCTGACATTCCTACTGGATGCTATCATGAGGTACCATTTGGTGCATTGCCATTGTTCTGCCTGCTGCATACCAGCTCACGTGGGGGCAGAGGGTTAATTTGAATCACCAAGGTGATTATGTAGCTGTTGGAACTGGCTTAGAAAATGGGTCTCAAACCTCAACAGCCTGGCAAGTTACAAAGAGGAAAATAGACATCTCCAGAGAGGGAGAAAAATGGAAAGAAATTGCTTACAGGAGAACAAAGGCAGCTGATTAGAATGAAACAGAAGATAAGAAGATGGGGAAAAATTTTGGCAGCGTGTATCAGAGAATAGTTCCTGTCAGTGAATCTGTTAACTAGACATAGGACCTCTCAAGGTATGGTAGAAGAAGACCAGTTGGTTGAAATATATAAATGTAGATGATACAAAACACTAGAAACCATACAACTATAAAGGAGAATTTCTCTGGAACTACATGTAGTCTAGCAGTTCTTTCCCATCTGTACAAGCTAAGTTTTAATTAAGAGAGGAGAGTCAAAGCCATGATTATATGCCCTCACTGCTGCTTTTCTTTTCTTAATGTTATTATTGCTGCTATCCTACACAGCATTCAAGCTTTGGAAACATGGCTAAGGTTTTGAAGGAGACTGAAACCAGTCTAGAGAACACTGCACCCAGCGAAGAACAGCAAGACAATGCCAGCATGAAGCGGTACTTCAGAAATAAAAACCTTGTTCTGGATTTCCTGTACTCTGAACTGACCCTCAGCCACCTCCAGTACCACCGGAACAAAGTTCACCTTCTGAAGAAGTGTTACTTTTACTTGAAGATTGAGCCCAGATTCATACACATGAGAGACCAGAACGGTGTGATAATTTGCACTGACATCTTGCAAATCGCAAACCCCTGCCAACTTCAGAGGATAAAGAAGGTGGCAAAAAACCAAACTGAAATCCAGCTGGCACTTTTAACTGAGCTGTTGGAACAGCTGGAACAAGGTCGGGAGGAGCTGAGCCATTATGTAGAGACCTACGACATGGCAACTTTTCTCTCCCAGTGGGACATGACAAGAAAGAGAGTGCTCAAGTTCTCCAAGCTTTTAGATAAACTCACTGCCTTGGAAGAGCCAGGAAAGCTCTATGTCAAGCACGTTTTGCTGTCACAGATACATCTCAGAGGTGCTCTAAACCCTGACATTAGTCTTTCTCTCTATGCAAAGAAGCCACCAATTTTTGATCGGTCAGAATCATTTGCATACAAGAACTGGGCCCAGCTCAAGTGGATTACTGATAATCAAGAGTCACACCTCGAACAATGGCAGGTGGAGGTTAAGTTAGTGACAGATGACAGTCAGGAAGAACCAGGATACGGCCAGATTCAGGAAGTGATCTGCAACCCATGTGTAATCAATCACCTGCAGCCTGGCAGATCATACGAATTCAAAGTTAAAAGATGCGACACTAACACACTCGTCTACACACAGTGGCATGACAGCATTATATTGAAGACAAAAACCTAATCCTTTCTAAGATTCCAACAGCAGCTCTGAAGGCAGCATAATGAGGTGGCTGACAAGAACATCTTCCTCATGTTAATGATTTGAAAAAGATGAGTGGGAAACAATAAATTGTTATATGCAAGCAATTTTGCATAAAATTGAACTCCTCCTGTTTTCAACAGCAATTTTACAGGTGCCTTCTCCAAATCTTTCCAGGTTAACAGTAATCCATTCCAAATTTCTCACACAAAATATCATCCTAAGGTAGCATTTGGCACTCAACAGTTGTGTCCCACTGACAGAACTGACAGGTGGGAGCAGCCAGAAACAGACAGTCTTGTAGGACACCTCCGAGGCAGAGCACAGGAGACAGGAGCATCTCCAGCATCCCATACTTTCCATCCACTGAAAGATGCTCAGTGCCAGCTTCTTGCAGTGACATTTTGGGGGTTTTGCCCAAAGTTATTGTCCTTCCTCCAAAACACTTGATCTGAACGCTATCTCCTCAAATCATCCACAGGAACTTATCTCCATCACTGGTTCTTCTCACCCTCTACACCCTATGCCTTATAGGTACCTAAGTATGATTTCATGCTCAACCCTCTACAGTTCATGAAAAGAGCACTGTAATTAAAAAAGCCCAAAACAACAAAACCTCAACAATAACTAACCCCTACCACCCCAACACCCCCAGCAAACAGGGAAGGGTAATACATCCACATGATCAATATGTAGAAAATTATCTTCTCTGTCACAAACTGCAGTTAATGTTCATTTTCTTTTTTTTGCCATTTGCTTCAGTCTAAACAGAGCTGTCCTCACACAGATTCTAGTCAAACCATCACATGAACAGAACTTTTAGTAACAAAATTGATTATTTAGATAAATTCAAATCATTTTTACAATTACGGCTTAAATATCAAAAAAAGGAATGTTGAGGTTCATTCTTACAAATGGTTGAAGCAGGTAAAAATATTTGTATCCAAAAGACCATTTGAGGTTTGCTGTAAGTCACAGGCATGCAAAAGGTAGAAACCTGCCACATTTCAAGTTCCTTAATTCACACTTCATGGCACTCAGCATTTCATATCTGGGGTTTTTTTAAAAATTTATTGCATTCAGTTACTATGATCATATCTGTTTTTTTTAAAAAAATTTATTGCATTCAGTTACTATGAATGACTTCAGGGCTTGCTGGAACCTTGCAGACAGGGGGTTCAGCTGCAGCTGCCCAGCCTGAGGGCTTGCAAGGGTGGGCAGGAACCCCTAACCCCAGCCTGGCTGCAGAGATCCATCCATCTCCACTGTTTTTCAGTATGCTAGAGCTGAAAGTTCCTGTCTTTTTTTTAAAAAAATTTATTGCATTCAGTTACTATGAATGACTTCAGGGCTTGCTGGAACCTTGCAGACAGGGGGTTCAGCTGCAGCTGCCCAGCCTGAGGGCTTGCAAGGGTGGGCAGGAACCCCTAACCCCAGCCTGGCTGCAGAGATCCATCCATCTCCACTGTTTTTCAGTATGCTAGAGCTGAAAGTTCCTGTCCAAGGTTGCACTGATTACAAACACCTCAAAATGCTGAAGCAGGTGCCTCTGTCCTGCTTGGGTGACTCAGTTCTCCATACTGATAAAACCTTCTGCTGCATCCTAAAGGAAACAATGCATTTTATCAGGCAAACTGGGATTTCAAAAGTGTACATGTATTGAAAAGCTCATGGTGGTAAAGTGACAACCACTTTTCTACCTGCAACATAGGAGAGCAGACGGGGCAAAGAAGAGGTGAGTTTAAGGCTTGTATTCTGAAATAGAGGTGAACAACTTCCATTTTAGGGTCATCTTCACAACTGTAGTAACTGGGATATTATAAATATTAAGGACATTAACCTGAGCATCAGTGGTCTTGACTGTAAAACAGTAAGACTTACTTCACAAGCTGTGCTATGAATATGGGGTGCTGGGGGGTGTCTGTGAAGAAAAAACTTTTACAAATGCTGAGTACTGCTTTTACCTCCCTAGACAAAGGCATAGAACAGCTGCACACTGAAAAAAAAATTAGAGGAAAGAATTGTTTTAAGCTCAAATACAACAGCCAAGAAATGTCTCACTAGGAAATCACCAAGGCATTTAGCCTGTTGCTGACAGCTCATCCAAGGCAGGGCAATGTCCCAAGAAAACACACCCTGCCTTGCCTGAAGAAAGTTTTGCAGTCTTAAGAACAGATTGCCTTTTTTTTTTTTTACTTCATGCAACTTTTACTTTATGTATTTCTTATATTATTCTATAAAATTTTATACACTTTTACTTCTTTTAAGTAGCTGTTGGTCTTGTGGTTTCTGCAACCTGTGGTTAAAACAGATATAAAATAAAAGGTTATGCTGTTAACTCCAAGTCTTCACCTTCAACAGATCTAACAGGCACCCACAGAGACCTCTGCAAACCCTCACACAGGGCTCAGGGATGTGTTTCATTTGCCTGGCAGAACTCATGTGTATGTGTTCCTTTGGATAACATGTGTGTTTGGGGTTTTTAAACGGCATCCTACTACTTGTAGCAGCGCAAAGAGGATGGAAAGCCCAGTGAGAGCCAAGCACCCTGCTTGGCACACTGTCTGGCACCAGTATCTTTGATGAGACAGATAGAAAGGCACAGAGGATGCCCAGTGGCAGAGCAAGGTGCCCATGTGTGCCTTCCACTCTGTAAAGAAAGAATTAAAGAATACCTTGCCTATCTCAAACACTATTAAGGCCACAAAAGGGATTCATCCTAAGACATGCTAGCCACCACACAGCAACTTGAGATAAGTGCAAAAAAGATGAGTCTGTGCTACTTCCAGGCCTGGTGGAGGCAAGATCTGGTTAGCACATCCTGATTAACATATCTGAATGAAAATTCCCACAGTGGCAACCTGCACATACACATCGCTGGTCACAGATCACCCCAGACAGGTCAAACCCCCCACCCTAAAGAAGCATGCAAATGAAGGCAGAACCATCCTCACTTTGCATGGAAATTAGGAATATGCCTCCATGGATACCCAGAATTTGACTTGGTGGTACCCCAGAAGAGCAACTGGGGACCCCCCCCTACCACCAACAGCATGATTTGAGACACCCACCACCAAAAGAATGACTCGGGACCTTCCCCATTGAGCAGCCCAAGGTGAAGATGGACCAACAGGACACTGCTGGACCCATGGGCGGTGACTACCACCCCTTCTCTCACTCTCTCCCCCTCTCTTTCTCACTCTCTCTCCCTTTCTCTCTCTCTTTCCCCCAGCTCTTTCCTATTTCTTTCTCTCTCTACTTCGCATATATATGATTATAATTAAATAACCCCCACGTTATTATATTATTAACGCATTATTGACTTTGGCATATG